ATTTGCAAAATATGTATGGATCTTGCTGCCTTTGCACAAAAGAAGCAGCGCTATCATACCTATCTTCCATCTACCATTTACAAGACCTACGTAATGCCAAACCTATTGGCATTTGCAAAATATGTACTGCACCTTGTAGGCATCAGTTTAGAGCAAACACTACTCATCGTCCTCATCATCATCATCATCGTCGTCATCGTCATCGTCGTCCTCATCGTCGTCGTCATCATATGGCCATCGTTCGATGGATCATCAAGAACTACAACAACGAAACAATGTCTCATTGGCAACAAATGTAAGAAGATGAACAAGTCGAAACAATTTCAAAATCAATTACTCACATAAGCGATGATTCAAAGCCCTGTGGAAATAAGCCATCTCCCTCGCATCCTCGGCCTCCTTATGGTCGTAGGCCTCCTTGTTTTATCGCCCGAAGCTCATCAACTCGGCCTCATTGTTGTAAAAATTCAGCTATCGACCGGTCACTTGAGGAAAGTCCTCTAAAATCCTGTTATGATTCTTCCATGATGACATCTCTACCCCATACCTCATCCTCACCTCTATCTGCTTCTCCTCCCACATCCAACGCTTCCTGTCTTTTTTGAGAGGCGAATGTATCTTCAGCCTCTCTAATAACTCTCCACGACCAGAGAAGTCCTCCCAATTGCATGTCCTCCCCACCTAAGCAAACACAAAGCAATGAGTAAACAAACACGTGGCCTTTGTTCATGTAGTAACTTCATCGATTTAGTCAACTCATCCATAACTCAGACGGCCCTCCATAAGCATCGCCATAGTAGTATTTGTATCCTAGCTCAGACGGAACAACTCCTTCGTGAGCCTTGATGCCACACTTGTACTTATGGTCTGACATCTTTGTGCGTGGCCATGGTTTAAATGCCTGCTTCAAACTCTACAAATTCATACTCAGAAGGCCAGTGCGATTTGGTTCCATAGTTGTACTCCTCAAAGTCACAAGATGGGAACCCTCTCTGTAAAAAACAAATGTTCCAAGTGTAACATTGTATGTGCAAAACACATACAAGCTTAAAGATAGATTGATTTCATGAGAACTTACATAATCTGGCAATCCACAGTGATAGAAGCGAGTGAATGCTCGATGTTGACTGGGAGTAGTTAGTAGCGCCGACACTCCACAATGGCATTTAGGAGGATTGGCTAGACGATGCAAAGCAGCGTCAACCTTCTCCATCTCTGTCATTTTCGGAGGGTTCGGCAGCGGCGAAAACCAACGAACAAATTCTGAATATGGAACGCTCTTCCAGGAGTCATAAGAAAACAACATAATCAACGAATCAAACATTTCATCGCCATTGATCCACTGATAGAACTTGCATCCCTCTAGGTAGGCATCAAGTGTCGGAAGACGACGCTTAAGTTAGCAACAGTAGAAAGCACGCCCAGCTGACGCGGGATGCCTTGATTGCTTCATAAATGACGGTAACCCATAGTAACACAACGATGTTGGCTCTACCGGTAGGAAAGGACCGATAGCACCATGATCCTTTGGATGGTGCACGAATTGATTGTTATTTGGAACCGCCATTGAACCTATTACAAAGTAGTTGAAGAAAGCAAAGATATGTACCAATACTATTACACAGTTCAACAACAATTTCCATCTCAATTATCTCTATAATCATGTAAACCCATGAAGCCAAACCCTAAAACAAACTTATTGAATATAAATGATGTTTATACATACATAGTCTAACTCATCTATACATCTAATCATCACAAAAAAACTTCAAATCACACACTTCCAAGAAAGTTTACTAACAACAGTCCAACCCATACTGCTGTCTAAACCATTGCAGTCAAACCCTAATGCAGTGCCAACCAAAACCAATCACAAAAATCATAAAAGTTCAACAGCTATAACATGAACCATAATATATTAGACGCAATTAGCCAAAGCAACTTTCATTAAACCAAACGAAAGCTACTATTGCACTCAGCAATGTAAACCAGGGCAATATATAAACATCAACTAAACAAAAAAACCAACAGAGATGAGGGAGTCATACCTCATGCACGACATCGATCAAACTTGAAATGCAAATACAAACTTGATCAAAGGCAAATAGAGAATGGGAGGAAGAGAAGACAGAGAAGTGGAAACACCTCGTGCTCGGCTAGAGTGAAGGGAGGGACCAGGGAGGGAGGAAAAAGAAGCTGGACCGCGCCCTTAAATGGGCCTGTCGCTCCAGCCCGCCTGGCGCGACACTTGCTGGCGCGACATGGTGGGGCCCACTCTAGGCCCACGCTCCGCTACGCCAGCTACGGTCAACGACGGACGCCACTGTGGCTCGGCTTATCACGCCAGCGCATGTGGCGCGATAGTATGGGGGCCCACTCTAGGCCTACGCTCCGTTGCGCTAGCTACGGTCAACGATGGACGCCACCGTAGTTCGGCTTATCGCGCCAGCGCATGTGGCGCAATAATACAGTACTGTCGCGATAGTTTGGCAAATACTTTTTTTATTAGTATTAAAATATTGATTAAAAAAGGATTAAAAAAAAAAAAATTCTGTGAGATGGCAAGGCAGACATCCTCATCGGTGCCGAGGATGCTGCGGAGGAACTGGATGCAGGGGACGAGGTGCTTGTCGAGGTTGCGCGTGAGGAGGATAGGATAGCTGGCGAGCTTCCGTGGCTTGACGCCGAGGGAGGCAAAGAGGTCAAGCTTGGGGCGGAGGATGCAGTCGGGGTCGAGGATGAGGATCAGCGGTAATCGGCGGATTAGGTTGGCGATCTCCGCGTCGGTGAAGCCATAGTTGCGGAAGAGCGTGCGGACATCGTCGGCCTTGGCGGTGGAGCGGATGGGGAGCTTGTGGGCGGCCGTGGCGGCGTGGAGAGTCTGCAGGAGATCAGGTAAGAGACAGTAGCAGGATAGGGCTCGGAGATGGGGGCGCCCGCGAGGGATGCTAAGGAGTGGCCGTGGGAGAGGGCGTCGCTGGGGATTGTGCCGGTGGCGGAGGGGATTTGGCAGAGGTGGAGGAGCCGCCGCCGGTAGATGGAAGCGAACATGCGGGGTGCGGTGTGGATTTCGGAGGTCCATTAAGAAGCCGACACTGGCTTTAGGCCCTGTTTGGGACAACGTTTGCTCAACTTCTTAGCCCAATAAGCAAATAATCCCGCACAAACGCCCTGCTTTTTCGAAATCACGAAGGCCCCGCTTCCGCGATCTCTAGTCGCCCGCAACGCATCCGAAATCGCAAGTAAGGCCCCGCTTTTCCGAAATCGTGAAGGCTTTTTCTCTCCCTGCCCCTCCCTCAAGACCCGAGCGGTCTCGTGCTCTCTCCCTCCCCCGTTCGCTCCCTCCCCGTCGCCTCCCATTCCCCTCCGGCCCGGCACTCCCTCCTATCGCCAGATCCGTCGCCGCCTCCCATTCCCCAACGCTAGGCCTCCCCTCCCCCTCCACCGGTGCTCTAGCCAGTCCATTGGCGGCCCTCCCCTCCCCCTTCACCGATGCTCCAGCCAAGGCGCCGCCGGCCCTCCCCTCCCCCTCCATGCGGTGCTCCAGGCAAAGTCTGTGGTCCCCTCCCCCCCCCCGGCGGCAGCCACCCGGTCTGTGGGTGGCCCTCCCATTCCCTTCTTGGATCTCTGACAAGAAGGCGGCAGGTGCCAGTATAGCAAGGTGATTAGGTGCTCCAGCAGTTGATTTTCATGGGTGGGACATTTTCCGTTCCAGTCCTTTGTGTCCACTTGTGACAATCCAATATCGTTGTTTCAATTGCATTTAGTGTAGTGGGTTGGCAGAAGTGATGAACCAATTAGATGTGCAAAGTTACCTTATGAGCTTAACTTTTGAGGCATACATTCACTCGACCGCCGATCCAATCGATTAGTGTTCTGCGTTATGCGACACTTGTATAAGTGCCCATTGTTGATATCGGTGCACCGCTGCTTTTGTGTTTTCATAGAATAGTTCATTGGCAAGGAATGATGAATCAATTAGATGTGTGAAGTTTTCTTATGAACTTAACTCTTGAGGCATACATTCATCGACCTGCCATGCTATTGTTTAATTTTCTGCTATATTCTATGGCAGCTGTTAACATTGCCATGCATCTATTTAGTATTCTACTGCATTCTGTTTTTTTATTGTTAGCAGTATGTACATCTTTGCTTCATTTTGTTAATGGCATGTCTATCCTCCCTTACTCTTTTGTATTATGGCTTATCTGTTGAATGTTACTAGAGCTCTTTGTGTTAATGGCATGGCCTATTCTCCCTTATTCTTTGTATTATGGGATTGAAGGAGGTGTTCAGCTATGCTCATGCATCTCTCCGAAATGTGATTGAGCGGTCATTTGAAGTTCTCAAGATGAAGTGGCGCACTCTCTTGCAGTTACCTAGCTATCCAATTGAGAAGCAATCAAAGATTATCGTTGCTTGCATGGCTCTTCATAATTTCATTAGAGACAATGCCATATATGATGAACATTTGGAAACCTATGTGGAAGACAGTTGTGGCGTTGGGTCCCAAGTTCCTTCAGTTGATGGTGGTGGTTCGGCGGATGATATGAATATGTGTACTTTTTTGTGATGCTATTGCTAATGCGTTGGTTGGGTGATTCATTGTTAGAAATTTGAGTATTTTGTAGCAATTACATTACCCAAATGTATATTATTTTCGACTATTATTGTACATTGTAACTTAATGGAACCATATTGTTATGTCAAACTTTAAAAATATTCCCACCATTTTTAGATCATTGTGACGAACCAAAAGATGCATCATCAGCCTTATAGATACATAGATCAATTTACGTCTACCAAAAAAATAATCAGGACAGCCAAATATAACTTATTTATAACAGATTTTTCGGATCGGTGCTAAGCTTATAAGCGAGACTCAAACGAGCTAAAACAAACAGGGCCTTACAGTCGCAGCCGTAGCCCGCAGCCGCTTCCCATCTCATCCCTCTCTCGCGCACCTGTTGGCTGTTGCCAGTTACCACTCCCAACTCCAAATGACGAAATCCCTCCTCTTCTCCGCCCACCCAACGCCGCCGCTCCTCCCCGCCCCCCGCCTTCGCAGGCTCCTCCGCTTCCGCGCCTCCTCCTCCGCCTCCGCCTCCGCACCGCCCCGAGCCGACCGCCGCTCCCCCCGGCCCGCGCCGTCGCGCCGCCCATCCTCCTCCTCCCTCTATGCGCGCCCCAGCCTCCTCGAGATGGAGCGCGAGCGCGCCACCCGCCGCGCCGACGTTGACGCCTTCCTCGCCTCCCTCGGCGTCGACCCGGGCGAACTCGCGGGCCTCGAGCTCCCGGTCACCGTCGACGTCATGCGGGAGCGCGCCGAGTTCGTGGGTTCCCTCGGCCTTACCCTCGAGGACCTCGCCGCTTACCCTCTCGCTCTCGGCTGCAGCGTGCGCAAGAACATGGTCCCCGTGCTCGACTACCTCGGCAAGCTCGGCGTCCGCCGCGATGCGCTCCCGGACCTGCTCAGACGGTACCCGCAGGTGCTACACGCCAGCGTCGTCGTCGACCTTGCCCCCGTCGTCAAGTACCTCCAGGGTATGGACGTGAGGCCCGCTGACGTGCCGCGCGTGCTCGAGCGCTACCCGGAGCTCCTCGGGTTCAAGCTCGAGGGCACTATGAGCACTTCCGTCGCCTACCTCGTTGGCATTGGAGTGGGAAGGCGTCAGATAGGTAGCGTCATCACTCGTTTTCCAGAGGTGCTTGGTATGCGCGTGGGGAAGATAATAAAGCCTTTTGTCGAACACCTTGAGGGCATTGGGCTTCAGAGGTTAGCTGTTGCAAGAATAATAGAGAAGAAGCCATATGTACTTGGATTTGGGCTAGAGGAGAACGTGAAGCCTAACATTGAGGCTCTTATGGACTTTGGAGTGAGGAAGGAGGCTCTAGCATCCATTGTGATGCAGTATCCCGACGTTCTTGGACTTGAACTGAGGGACAAGCTTGTTGCACAGCAGAGCTTGTTTGAGTCGAGCATTTTGGTTAGCTGTGAAGATTTTGGGAGAGTGGTCGAGAGGATGCCGCAAGCCATTAGTCTTGGACGAGCTGCGGTTCTGAAGCATGTTAATTTCCTCACAGCTTGTGGATTTATGCTCTCTCAAGTGAGCAAAATGGTTGTGGCATGCCCCCAACTGCTCGCACTAAATATGGATATAATGAGGATGAATTTCGAATACTTCAAGAATGAGATGGAGAGGGATTTGGAGGAGCTGGTTGAGTTCCCTGCATTCTTCACATATGGCCTCGAGTCGACTGTGAGGCCTCGGCATGAGATGGTGTCCCGGAAGGGATTCACATGCTCTCTTGCATGGCTTCTTAACAGTTCTGATGCGAAATTTGATGAGCGCATGAAGTATGATACAATTGGGGTTGATGAAATGGAGCGTGAGGATTCTTCTGACATGAATGCATTTGTGGAGGAGGTAGATAGTGAGGAGTATGAAGGGCGGGCCTGGTACAAGCGGTAGAGTCTTACCGCTTGTGACCGGAAGGTCCCGGGTTCAAGTCACGGTCTCCTCGCATTGCATAGGCGAGGGTAAGGCTTGCCACTAACACCCTTCCCCAGACCCCGCACAGAGCGGGAGCTCTCTACACTAGGTACGCCCTTTTTTTTTTTAGATAGTGAGGAGTATGAAGACAGTGATTATGATGACTCTGATGATGAGTTTGTTCGATAATTCAGTTCATCAATCATTAGATTGTCAATTTTGAAGTATGTGGTTGGTACACAAAATGTCAAACTATAGCTTAGAGGTCCATTATGTTCAGATATCCTTCAACATTGTATTGTATGTTATAACTGCGTAAGGATGCAGTTCTCATCTTCCTTACTGACGTACTCTCTCCATTCCAAATTATAAGACGTTTTGGCTTTTCTAGATACATAGCTTTTGCTATGCAGTTAGATATACACTATGTCTATATACATAGTAAAAACAATGTATCTAGAAAAGCCAAAATATTTTATAATTTGGAACGGAGGGTGTACTTGTCAATTCTATGCCAAAACACATGAAACCATCTTTGTCATGCATGCTCAGAGGTTAATAACACGAGAGCAGTGGACTGAAGATTAACAGTGCTGACTGGTTTTCATATGGTATTGAAAACAGAGGCTCATTTGTGGAGGGTGTAGAGAATGCAGAGGATAAAGGTGTTTATGATGACTCTGATCATGGTTTTGTTCAATGATTTGCTTAATAGTATCAATTGTTATCTGACTAACTTTGCATGTAGGCCATAAGCTTGATGCTCTATTTTGTCTTTAGATTGTCAATTCTGAAATATGTTTGGTAAACCCAATGCTGGATATAATCAAACTGTATAGAAGACCAGTATTATCATATTTCCTTGAATGTTGTATGTTTTAACTGCATAACTAGAAAAACTCGGCGTGGTTTTGCCGCGCCCTCCTTTGAATTCACCAGCTTAGCACTTTTTTTACAAGTACTGCAAAAGGTTTAGCAGTTGAGCTACGAGATTAGAGTTATGATGATTTTGAAGTTGAACTAAGTTGTCGTTAGCAGAGAATAATACAATAGCAGACCATGGTCACATCATAGCAATCTGGTTTCTTGAGTCTCCTGATGCGACCTGACCATGGTCACTTAGGATTTCCTAATTGATGGTATTCAATTAGGATTTCCTAGTATGGATTCAACAGTTATCATGGTCACTTTTTTTATGTGTTTTTAAGTTTTTGGGGAGGTTTATGGCGGCACTGTTCATTTCTCTACATAAAGGATAGTTTTTGAATAATATTTATTCGTTGTTTGATAAATACGCATCTCTGGAAGGTTCATTCTTAAGGATATTAGTGCGTTGTTCTGGAACGTTCGTTCATAAGGATTTTAGTGCGGCATCGTTAATTTGGGGTATGCTCTGCAATTTTCTTTGCCTTTTTTTTTTGGTTTCTTGGAGTCATGGAAATTTCGGCATGACTTTCCAAAGGAAAAGGGGGTTCTTCTTTTTCTTGCCTTTCTTCCTGGATTTGTTCCCCTTTCCAAATCTTTTGCATTTTTTGGGGTCATATAGATATATAATTACGTGACTCTTATTGTAATTTATTTACATTCTCCTTTGTTTATTGTCGTTTTATTGTCATATGTTATGATTCGTTTTCATTTGTTGATGCGCAGGGTTGGGCAGAGGCTTTGCAGCTTTGGGCCAGATACAGTGCTCTCGTTAGTATATTATGCCATATGGTTTACAATTTTGTGTGAGCATGTAGAACGGCTCCTATGAAGGACTGGTATGATGTTTCTGTATGACTTCTGTCACTAGGAAATCTTCTATGCACTATGGTAGTGTGTTGTGTTCGAGGTCCTTGTTTAGTACTGTTTCCATTGTTGTTTATTAATGTTTCCATAGTTTGTGAGATGATCACGATTTCTTTTCTTTTTTTTTTCAAATTTGTTCAGTAGCAACTGTGCTTTGCCTACCTGTGTCATTCTTACATCTATACTATACAGTGACTTCTTTTCTTACTACTTCATTGTATGAAGTATTAGGAAACAAAACAAATGCCAGGTATTTAAATGTTCCAATTTCTAATTGATATGTGGAATATCTTCTTGCTATTAGTGTGGGCTGCAAAATAATGAAGTATACTGATGTTACATTTGTGTTGCATATTTGGTGGTGATGGGACTTGGGAGTAAACATTGTGTTGCACAATGTAAATAGTTGGCAGTTGATATTACTTTAGAGAATGTGTATTGCTGGGGGTGTGGCATAGTCTAGGGCCCCCCATTAGTGTGTAAAAAGGTCTAATTACTAAGCCTAGGGGCCTATTTGTGAGTGTTTAGGAACCGGATGCAGTTTGTCGGAATTCATTTGTAATTATAAGCCCTACAGGGGAAAGGAATGAAACCTCCACCTCTCACCTTCCCTATAATAGCAAACTAAATGCCAGCTTGAATTCCTAGTTTTTGTTGCTTCAGCTTGTTGTACAATTGCTGAGTTCAGATGTTTGGAGGGGTGATTTACTTGGCCTTCTGCCGCTTCAGTTGCGTTGCTGCTTGCTTGAATCATACAGCTAGTGTCTACATACATGTCTGATTAGGATTGCTTTGGATATACTCATGCAGCAAGGCTCACTAAATGGAGTCTCACAATGGCGAGGCTGATGACTTGCCTCCACCACCTCCTTCGATTGCTGGTGTTGAACCACTTAAGCTGATGAAACAAAGGCGCCATTGAAACCTATGAGTCTGGTCCAGAGGAATGGCTTTGGCAGAAAGGGGCAGCTGATAACAAATCACTTCAAAGTTTCTCTCATGAATGCTGAAGATTATTTCTATCATTATTATGTGGGTCTCTAATCCTTGTCCAAGTGTCATTTCTTTATTTTCATCCTCATACCTTCTTTATCAATGATGTTATCTTTTACTGGTTGCAGGCAAATTTGAAGTATGAAGATGATACACCGGTTGATCGCAAAGGGTCGGGAAGAAAAGTGATCGAAAAACTGCAGCAAATTTATGCCGCTGAACTTGCAAATAAAGATTTTGCATATGATTGTGAGAAGATCCTGTTCACAATTGGTGCTCTTCCTCAAGTTAAAAATGAGTTCACTGTCGTGGTTGAAGACTTTTCAACTGGAAAGTAAGCCTCAGTTATTTTTATTGATTTGTCATTATCTACTCGATGATAATTATCCCTAAATGTTAACTTGACTTTCTTGCTTTCAGGACTCCTGCAAATGGCAGTCCAGGCAATGACAGTCCTCCTGGAAGTGAGAGGAAAATGGTCAGAAGGCCTTACAATACAAAGACGTACAAGGTCGAACTCTCTTTTGCGGCAAAAATTTCTATGAGTGCAATCTCACAGGCCTTGAGAGGTCAGGATTCAGAGCACAGTCAGGAAGCAATTCGAGTGATTGACATTATTCTGAGGCAGCACTCAGCTAAGCAGTATGTAGTTGTTTCATGCAATTCTGAGGGCATATATTACAAATATTGCTGATATTATTGACGGTTCTTGCAGTGTAGCCATTCTGTCTTTAACTGTGTCCCTTTTTGCTTACAGGAGTTGCCTATTAGTAAGGCAATCATTCTTCCACAACAATCCTTCCAACTTTGTTGACCTGGGTGGTGGTGTAGTGGGCTGTAGAGGGTTTCATTCTAGTTTTCGTGCAACCCAGAGTGGACTTTCACTCAGTATCGGTCTGTTCTTACCATCCATATGCCATGTTTTAATCTATACAATACAACGATAATTTCTCTCTATGCAGTTGATAATGTCTGCCAGTTTAAGAAAAGTAATCGTCCAGTCCAGTTTAGTTTAAAATGACAACATTCACATGCTGCCTATCATTAATTTCTATTACTAACCTAAATATGGTAATCAAGAAGGGTTATATGCATCATTACTTCCTCCAGTACCAACTTCTAGATTTTCTGTGATACCTTTTTAAATCAATATTTTAATACTAACCTCTTCCATAAATTATTTTTAGATCAAGCCCTTTCGGGAGTGCCAGTGCGCCGGGCACAACAGAAAGGTAATGTCTCATCACGTGCACTGTGAAACCTACTCGGGTAGTTGGCAACATCCTGGAGCTAGGTGTTGGCTGGGGAAGTGATTAACGTTATTGGAGTCAAGATAAATCTCTGACACACTCATTTCATGGCATTTGCGTAAGGTCTACGGTTTTAGGTTTTCATTTTTGATTTGGAATGTTTGTGCAATATAGTTGCTAGTTTTTTTTTTAATGGGATGCATGTTTAAGGGGCAGTGTATTGTCTACCCGTCCATTTGACGTGATATCCAAAAACATGCGATGAATAGGGTCAAATTTCGACGTTTACATTTTATCTTTCTTACTGGCATACTTGCAATTTCTGTCAAAACAAATATGGAACCATTTTTCTCATGTATGTTCAGAGGTTAATATTAACAATCAGAGCAGAAGTCTGAAGACAGTAGAGTGCAGATGGGTTCCATATGTTCTTGGAAAATTTTGACTGATGAAAGATAGGTTCTTGTTTTTGGGCTGCCAGCTCCTTAACTAATGCTGTCAGTTACATCAGTCTGGGAGGATGTTATGTATCTCAGTTACGTGATTTTCTGCCTTCTGGATGTAGTGTGGTGTGAGCAATCTTTGCAGCTTTGGATCATTGCCCCGGTTGTCTTTCGTGTTCTGGCAATGATCCGTGCTGGATACTGTAATTTGTTCCATTTTTCCTTCAGTCAATCTGTAGGGTTGAAATCTCACTCTCTTTGCCAAAAATGCATGTAGGTGCACCACACTTCATCAATATCATCATGTAAACGATTCACATGCTAGAATGTGAAACTTCAAATTCGTTGCCCAGCTCTTCAACTGGAACTTGGTTCTGTGCATCATTCCTTCAGGAATCAGAGATTGCGTCTCTCAGAAGATGGACAGCATCAGTTTTCAGTGTTTTGACATGAATCATACAGATACTAGTTGAGTTTTTCCCCACCAAATTTCATATTAGCAGTGCATATACTAAAACTAATCAAACAAGGTACTTAAAAAAAATAAAAAAGGAAAAATAAATTTAAAGGAATCGTTGCAGGTCTCCTGGATTGGATCCATCGTAATCCCAGAGCACATGAGTCCAGAACGTTATCAGGCAACGAACGCGACACGTCGCACTTGTGTGCCGCGCACTGCTGCCAAAAGAAAACATGGGCGTCCAGCGTCTGCTGAGGCTGAGGATGGCGTCACACTCGTGCTCCCGCCCCGCCCCCGCCGCCGCCTTGGCGCCGCACGCCGCGCGCCCGATCTCCTCTCTCCTCGCTCCCTCGCCCTCTGCCGCGCGCCCTCGGTCCGCGCCCCTCTCGTGCGCAGCTCGGCCGTGCCGGGGCCACGCGGCGGCGTCCGCGTCGCGCAGCGCGGCAGGGCGGAGGCCCCCGAGCGTGGCGGCGATGTCGTCGTCGACGCCGCCGCCGGGGCCCGTGCAGAAGTCGGAGGAGGAGTGGGAGGCCATCCTCACGCCGGAGCAGTTCAACATCCTACGCCGCAAGGGCACCGAGTAAGATTTTAAACAGCACTAGCCACATCTCTTGTCCTTCGCTGTTGTTGCTGAATTTGTCTTGTTGACGGTAGTGACGAATTGAATGGTCAGTAGTAGTAGTAGATACGCATTCTGATCAACCCAAGTTAAATTCAATTGCATAAGCATTAACAAAGATCGCCCAGAATGCACATCACCATGCTCTCGCCCGCTACATATGTCATTAATTGATATCTAGCTACATGACTGTGCTGTGCGTTTAACTACAGAAGTTGATTCTAATTTTCTACCAGTATTTGGATAGTACAATTATTAGATGGATTGTAAAATGCTGAAGAACCTGTAATTAGACTATTAGAGCACGCAAATGCTGATGAGGTTGAAGCAGTATGATTACTGAATCACACCATCCATCTTATTAGTTGCTATTTTGAACTACTGCATGTTTTGTGCTGAAATTTAATTATACACAAAATCCACATAGAGGTCAAGACAACAATCAGTTATAGCCCTTAGAGTCCTAATTGTAGATTGCCCTTGACAGTAAGCAAATTTGCTCAGCTACTCAACAAAAGAGGTCCCTGATTTGCTCTCCAGATTTCATCTACTTCTATGTGTGCACCTTGGTTGTGCATCATTCTGTGGTGCTCGTGTTACATGTCTTCCATGTGCCTCTTCATTTCATGGTGGTGTTTTCTTTCAGTATTTCAAAAAATCTAGCCAAATATAACATAAATACAATGTTAATCCATAGAAGATGGAACAAGTAGCTGGAGAAATTGGTGTTGCCATCTTGTGAAGGTCACTTTGCAAATCCAGAAGAATCCAATAATTGTGTAAACTAGAGTAGGTTGCGTACAATTGATCATGTCATTAACTGTAGGTGTTAATAATATAGAGAAAAATGTTGTCTTATCATTGCAATAAACCAAGAGAAAAATTCAATGTCTTTGTAGTCCAGTTACAACATCCAACACCCCAGTAGCCAATTAGTGACTGTGGATCTTGTTTTTACGGGCCTTACTTATTTTATTAGAGGTAACTTAGAATTTTATAAATTGTCAAGTTCTTTGGTTGAGTTAGAGTGTAGAGCATGAGAGAAGTTGTGAACTATTTGATAAATTAACTAGCTCCAGGTTGTTTTTTGTTAGTGTTGCTGCAGTTCTGGCTATGGCTGATGCATCACGGAGTTCTATAGTAATGCAAGAACATATTAATTGATCCTATCTGGTGAAAAATACTTGACGTTAGGATTTGTGACCGAAGGAGGTTACTTGGAGTCCGTTCACTATATTAAAATGAAGCAACAGGTTTGCAGCAGCAGCAACAATAAAATGATAATAATAACTAATTTGACATTAAAAAACAAATATCTGACCCTGACTTTGTTTTTTTAGTAATGACCTATTGCCATTACCATGATTTTCTGCTTTTATGAAATATGAATTGCTAAAATGTATGACAGTCCATTTAATTTAGTTTTTTTTTTCAGATGGCAAGCATGTGTTTATGTCTGTAAGTTACTATAACTAGTGTGCACCGTTTCCACATTGTAGCATGGGAGTCATTGTTACATGCCAAATAATCATGGTACAACTATTAGTTTCTGACTGATGTTTGGCATGTGGTGTGGTGAAGCTGTTTCTCTGCTAAACTATTAACAGGTGTCAGTTTTTTCTGAATTCGTTTGGTGGTCTGATTTCCCAGGTACCCTGGAACGGGTGAATACGACAAGTTCTTTGAGGAGGGCATTTATAAATGTGCTGGATGTGGAACTCCCTTATACAGATCATCTACAAAGTTCAACTCAGGGTGTGGCTGGCCGGCATTCTATGAGGGACTTCCTGGGGCCATAAAACAGACGGTATGTGCTACTATTCTCTCTTGCACATCAGGATGAGGAATGATCCTGCTCTCTGGCCTTCTCTGCAATCTCCAGTATTAAGTATTAACCAATATTTTTTTGGACACTAGCCGGACCCTGATGGGAGGCGGACAGAGATCACATGCAGTGCCTGTGGAGGACATTTGGGGCACATGTTCAAAGGGGAGGGGTTTAAAACGCCTACCAACGAGCGACACTGTGTTAACAGCATTTCGCTCAAGTTCACTCCATCCTAAGCCTGACGGCAGATGAACTCCGACCTGAAACTCAAGAACAGAATAACTGCTTGGCCTCTGTTGGTTGCTTTCGTATTGTATAGTGAGTTATGAAATGGAATTTGTTATTCCTCTTATCATTTCTAATATGCTGTAACAAATTTTCAATCACAAGTGATGGTCTTTATTGATAAATCAATGTACTTCTGCCGTTAAAGATTGCATGTGCAACTCCAGTCCAACTGTTGTATCTGAGAAGCGCATAACAATTGTATATTCATACACCTGTTTGCACATTAAGAAGCTCCGAGCACGTGAGAATCACAAGTAACAAACAATTATGCAAAAAATTCAGGAAATGACCAAGGCAAGTAGCTACATGGGCTTTAAGAACAACAATTCACAAAGAATATTGCCATTGCTTGCAGAAACACACCTTGCCTGAAATCTCGCGATTCATCAATCGGTAGTGTGAATGCGCGGGTTCGCTTCGTTCCAGCCGGGAACCGGGGATGGGAGAAGGATGGTGGTAGCGTGTCGAACTTTGTTTGCCTGCGTTGGGCTTGATATGGTTTTGTTTTAGTCACTTGGCTACGATTCCGGCCGAATCTAAGCAAAATAGCTAACGTTCCAACCAAACATTCGAACTGGTTGAGCATGCAACAAACCAATCCTGCTCTAATTATCGAAAACGAAACTTTTCTGAAATAAATTCAATACAGTTCAGGTTGGACCAACTTGGGTTGGCTGCCTCTCCAGCTTTGATCATTGTGGAGAAATGAAAATGGTGGCAATGCAGTCCAACTTCTCAAAACACTAGCAAAATGAATTGAGACAGACATTATGATCGGATTTACACTTGCACCAATCTTCCAGCTCTCACACAAACTCAGTTGTAACCATATGTAAGGATGTCTTGTCCAGTTGTCCTATTAATAAATCTGAAACCACTAATCTTATTGGGGGAATTGGGCAATACAGAATTAAAATTCTATTGTTCAGAGAACTTATGCAGCACAATGTAACAAAGAAACATCATGGCGATCAGAGATTCTGAGCTGTTTGAGAAGTGCCCATCTCCATCTGCAACTAACATCTGGAGCATTGCTTCCTGTCCCCTGAAAACTGACAGACGACCAAATATACAATTTCAGTCCACAGAATAAGAAATGAAAAATATAAAAAAGAATCTCATTATTATTGATCATATACGTGGGAGCCTGTCTGTTTACCTGGCATCCGTGCTGACCATTTTAGGATATCAGCTACTCACATATGTAAAGCTTTAGGTTTGATCACTTTTGTTTCTTTTAGCCTGGCAGGCTTTCAAGGCTTGGACGTCTGTTAGAAACGAGGTGACAGACATCTCGTTACTAAAGATTACATGAGTGGTACTAACATTCAGAATTCACTGCACATTCATGTTGAAGTAAAACAAAAAATTAACATCAACTCTGACATGATGATTAGTGAGATAAAATAGATATTAGGTTCTGAAACTCAAGGTAACCTGTTATTTTTAAGGTCGCTTCTTCATGCCCACTCATTAAAAAAATAAATGCATCACAGTAGTATTGGTCTATTGGAACACCATTTTGTGGTCAGCTTGAATGGCGCCTGTAGGAAGTTAGTCTGACAAACTTTGTAATAGACTTAGGCCCTGAATTCTAGATATGCAAACGTTTGGATTTCCTATGTCACAAAAGGAAAACAAGACATTTGGTGGCTGCCCAGGCCGAATGAAATTATACAAGTACAGAACCATGCACTTTAGTAGCAAAAATTTAAAGAATGCTTCATTTTCTCTCCAATCCCAATGAGAATGCTAAATGCCAATTATCAGTATATTTTATTTATTCAGTTCTGGTACTTGTTATTTGCATCATTTTACATCACTGCCTTGGATTAGACTAGATGTGGAACACCTCTCTAGGGCCCATTGAAATCCTAGGTGAGGCCCTGAAATCTAGGGCCCATTGATCACATAAAAGTGATCTGGACAACATATGGATGCTTGGCGATCACTGCTCTCACTTTAGAACATACATAATGTGGTTCAGGATAAATCATTACAAGGATAATGTATGATGAGTGAAGAATATGCATACCCTACTTCTAATACAATATAATTCTTTTGCTCTAAACTTAAGTTTGATCTAGTTCTCACTTTCTCCTGGTGGCATTAAATAGAATATAATCAGTAACAGATTCCTCCAAAAGGAACTCCCACCCCTCAAACTTCATGCGAAGTTCACAGGGTTCATTCCTCTAGCTTAGCCAAATTAGTCAAATAAATCATATCTTATAACTGAAACAATTGCCCTCTAAACTCAGTTCTCAATAGACTAACACATCTTGCAAATATCAATCAACTGAAAGCAGCTTTGTTCGAGACATTTGAATTTCCTTTGCTAGTATACAATTCCAATCTCAACTGGGAACTAACAAATCTTGTTAGAAAATATATTGCGAATAAGACCTACGTGCTTGGCAGGCCTTCCAGTTGCGATTTGACTCGATGAGGCAGTCCTGCAAACAAATAATGACAAGATCCAAATCTGAGAGGCCTAAGATTGGTATTGAAGGAAATGAGTGACTTGCCTGGAAAGGCCCTGTGGTGGGGAAAGGAGAGACAGTACCTGGAGAGATAGATATACTGTGGCACACTCGTTAAGCTGCTTCACACTCTCGTCCTCCTCATCTGCATCTCTTGCATGTAGGGGGTGTTGGGATGCAGGCAGTGGCACGTTGCTACCATTGCTTGAGGAAGATTCCATTGCAAGCTTGGTTTTGTTTGGTGGTGGCACCTCAATCAGTCTGTTTTGGCCTTTCAGTTGCCTTCAAATGGGTTGGACCTGTAAAAATGCCATAAAAAGTTGTAAGTTTTGACAACAATAGAGCCAGTTTTTTAAAAAAAATATGAAAAGGAAATGCAAGACGCGAACTACAGCCAGTTCTACCAACTACTATAGCTGTGTGAATGTTAAGATAAATTTCTAATCAGACTTCTAATTAAAAAGCAACAATTTACACTACCCGGCCATTATTTCAGCTATTAGGGTGTTCAGCAGGGCTCCGCTCTAGGATTTTCCCTGATCCAAACAGGATGTACTTGATCAACATAATAAGGAGAAAGCCCTGAAAATATTCACCCAGCAGGTTGGCTCCAAACACAGGAGAGATTCTAGGAGAAATAGAACATGCTTCCCTGGCAGGTTGGTGGCTTTAGTGTCAAAATAAAAAGCACAGTTCTCTGGGTTCATGCATTTGTGTCATTCTAAGTATGTGCATACATGCACCAAGGTGCATGGTACGTGAGTTCCTAGCAAACAATGGTTGCATGTGTCTGCCTTCTTTCTTCTGAGAAGATGCTCAAATCCATACTTTCTTGCACATGAATGTTATGAAGCTTTCTGGTTTTATTCCCCCCTTTTACAAATTTATCAACGTCGACACAAAAGGCAGCCCAAAAGTATGTTAACATAGATTAACTATATAGAAGAGTTCCAACAAGAGATGGATCCCAAAAGATGTAACTAGGTAAGATATCCTAACAATCTGTTTGACCTATGCATTTTGTTCATACCAATTCATGTTATAGTCCACATGAAGACGTAAGATATCCTAATAATCTGTTTGACCTACACATTTTGTTTACACTAATTCACATATAGTCCATGCACACACATTCAGTTGAAAAAGCACTTCTGTTAGGTTAAATGGTTAACAAATGGTCCAATTCAGCAAACAAATGTTGCAAACATGGTAAATAGTTCTGATTTAAAATCTAGCTGGAAAAAATTACAATTACATACATATGCTGCTAATAACATATGCTGGTGCTGACAAAAATAGTACAAGTCAACGCCTAAAATAGTATTCACATATTAGCAATCAAAGTTATAAAATGTTTGCATGCACTTCATGTCCCTATGGAGCAGCAATTGAGGTTTTTTCTTTCTTTCTATGCAGTTAGGATATACATATTTCGTTTACGGTTCAATTATGAGTTCAGAAAGCACATGTGCTGGGCAGTCAACTCTAAAAAAAAAATCTGTAACAGGCTGTTCAACCTATCTATATTTAGCAAAATCATAAAGATGAACCAGGCAGATGGCAGCTCAAGAAAACAAAAAAAGCATTAATACAGGATTTTGTTTCAAATAAAGGCAGAACACAGATAAAACCTATCGAAGCTTGCAGCAATACATTGCGGTGGGTGGGTGGGTGGGGGGGGTGAGATTTGCCTAACAACACGTCACGTAAGTCTCATATGTCATAAAAGAGTTTGATGGAAGCACTAATTATATACGTACGTATGATTGATAATAATTAGGTCACAAATCACAAACACACTAGAGGGGATATCAATATATGAATATAGGGGCGGACCCATTAAAGGACATGGGTGTACACTTGTAAACCCAATAATTTTCGCAAAAAAAACGAAGTTAGTAGCCGTCTATACACCTGTAATTCGATCAGATCCGAATAAAGATAGCCAAATAGTTTAAGTTAGCATTCGGGTGCCCAGTTTCGCACAGCACAAATGGAAGAGAAAGGGACAAAGGCCTGGGAAGGACTGACAAACACCTGGGCACTAGCATATGGCGTCAACGATCGCCCAGTTGCCGAACGAGTTAGACAGAGCGAGCAAGCACGCCGGGTGAACGGCAGAAGATTTTTTATTATTTGTAACCTTCATAAATCACTATTTCAATACTAACTCTTCCATAAATTATTTTTAGATCAAGCCCTTTTTGGACATGCCAGGTGCGCCTGGCACAACAGAAAGCTAATGTCTCGTCACATGCACTGACGTCATAATCCCCACCACATGTGTGGCCTTCCTGTGAGCTCTGACTTGTCCCCCCCCGGGCATGAGAAGCCTTGTCCCACGGCCAGCCCCTCTTCCTCCTCCATCTCTCTCTCTGCTTGTTCCCGCCAAGGTGAAACCTACTCGGGTGTACCCCTACGCAGTTGGCAACGTCTTGGAGCTAGCTGCTGGTTGGGGAAGTGATCAACATTATTGGAGTCAAGATAAATCTCCGACTAACACTCATTTCATGGCATTTGTGTAAGGTCTATGGTTTTAGGTTTTCGTTTTTGATTTGGAATGTTTGTGCATGTTTTAGGTGCAGTGTATTGTCTACTCGTCCATTTGATGTGACATATCCAAAAACATGCAATGAATAGGATCAAATTTCGACGTTTACATTTTGTTGTTTTAGTTTTTGCAAAATGAGCTAGTATTATATTTGAATTATCATGGTATTATTTTTTCTTGTTCCCGTTGCAATACACGGGTATAATCCTAATAACTCTGTAAGAAACTAGTCCCTCTTCTCTAGTTCTCATTGTGTTAAATCCGAATGTCAGGTCAGATAAACTTGTGCTTGTTTTCGCCTACCTGTAGATAGAAGAGAATGGAGGGGGAGAGAGTTC